GCACGAGGGAACCTTCACATATGTTCTGGTATTGAAAAGTATTATTTTCTGTTTTTATAGAACGATATTGATAGACACCTCAGTTCCCAATACTTTCTCCAGTTGTGTCTTTCTTATAGAGAAAACAGCCCAATATATTTGAAATTTCAGTGTTTCTGGATATAAGTGTCAGGCTAGTTGACAGCATATCACTGAAGATCCACAGTAATGGATCTAATGAATATGTGTTCCTTTGTTGTTGTTGCTAAAATTTTGAAATGCTCCTATCATTGTTGCTGTTGCCCAATATTTAGGAAAAACAGCATGATTCAGAACCAAAAATGAGTAAGAATGCTAGTCATCCAAAGATATACTGAAGAAAGGAACTCATTGAGAATTAATTATTCTACTTCTATATTACCAGTTAACTCCTACTTCACCCAATCCTTTCAGAAAAAGCACCTATAAACTCCGGAAAAAATAACAAAAACAGACAAACAAAAAATACCTGACATCCTTGAAGAGAGAACCAAAGTAGGCATATTCTAGAAGGAACTGGACACTCAAATGAAGCAAACAACATGGGTGATTTTCCTGTTTTATAGCAGTTAGCCTAAAGGAAGGCTGACTTCAATACTATCAGTTAAAACTCTGATAGGAAGTCTGAAATCTTTCTGGCCTGAAGAGTCAGGTGGTAGATTTTGGGACCACCAAAACTGATGGGAAGTGAGGGAGGAATACTGAAAAGAGAAAGCTAGAAAGAGGAAGAACAAAATTCTACTCTTAAATGATGTCTAAATTTCTAGTTGATCTCTGAACTTCACTTGTGTGGGGCAGACTACAAGTGAAGTAACTAAGAAAGAAATGTATACTGAACACAGATTTGAGCAGCATTCAAGAGAAACAGTTTTCACTTTGAGTTTTACCAAGTTGTCTGCTAAAGTTAAAAACAAACAAAAAAACATTCCCCAGAGGAATGTAATAGAATCAAGAGTCTCTCCATAACATAACACTCACAATATCCAGTAGACAGTCTAAAACAATTGATGTGATACACCTGGAAATGTGATCTCTTTAGAAGAGGCGAGGCAATCCAGGAAGACCAGCGTTAGAACCAGCAGACAAAAATATTGAAACAGCTATTATAACACTTTATCTGTGCTCAGGGATGTAAAAAAAAATTATATGCTCACTGTAAATGAAATAATGGGAAATCTCAGCAAAAAAATACAAAGTATAAAAATATGGAAAGCTTAGACCTGAAGAATATTTGAAACAAAAAAAAAAAAGTTAGTAAAACATCACTGGATAGGTTTAAAAACAGATAAAATGGAGATTGGCAGAGAATGTAGTGACCTTGAATATAGATCAATAGAAAATATGCAGTTGGCAGACATGTGATAAAAATATATTGAAAATAATTGAACACAGCCCCACAAACCAGTGGAACAGCACCAAAATTCCTGACACACCTGTAATTGGAGTCTTAGATGGAGCAGAGTCAGGTGAGAAGAGTCAGAGAAATGGGCATGAAAATACTAAATAAATAATGATTGATGAATTTTTAATTTATGAAAAATAGATATTCAAAAATTCCAGAAGCTCAGCAACCCCCCAAGAAAGATAACATTAAGAAAACTATAGCTTTCCATAGCAACATGCTATAGTCAAGTTGCTAAGCACCTAAGATTAAAAGAAAAGTTTGAAAGCATCCAGAGAAAAATGACACATGACATTCACAAAACATTATTTAAGTTTCCACTTTCACTCATCAGAAACCCTGGAGGCTGGTGTTTAAAATGATAAAAAGAATTAATTAAAAATACTTTACATTTCTCTAAGGTAGGATTACATCTACAAATGCCTACAAGGATAAATCAGATAATGAAAATAAGCAAAGCAAGTAAAGTCTGAGTGTGAACAGTGGCAGAGTTCAACTCTAGCTGATGATTGTCTTATTGGAAATCAGGACCAATGTTGTCATATTTCTGTTTATCAAGAGAGGACAGACAGCTAAATTTGAAAGTAAATTTTCATAAGTTTTAGATATTGGATTTAAAATTGTTTAAAATAATTCGTGGCCAAACAAAATGTCTGTGAGTTGAGCGAAATTCCTGATCACTAATATGTGACTTCAAGTAATGAGTAATAAAGAATCAGGTGGAAGAAAAGCAAAAAATTAATTGAGAATTTTAAGTAGAACAGATAATCTACGTTTTCAATCATCGACCATACAATATGAGACTAATTGGAAAGAAATTATAACTGCGGTTCTAAAAGCCAGAGGTGGCCACATTTTCAGGTTAAATAAAAAGTTTGTTATACATACAATTTTGTTTTGACCTTAAGAGATAAGTAGGAGAATATTATGGTGCTATTAATATAAACAGAACTACTAGAGATTTAATAGATGCAGACTAAAAAAATCATCAGGCATTTCTCTCACAGATTTTACAAGAGAAGAAACTGGTACTGAGGTTTACACTAACTTTATATGATGGCTAAAGGTGGATTCTCTCTCTAATGGTATGACTTGATTAATGTTTTCCCCTCCAATATACCCTACGTTAAGTGCTGGCATGATGTCTTGCTCTTTTGGCCAATCAATTAGGACCATACACAGAGAACTTCTTTATTTATTCCACAGTGGAGGTTAGCTAGCCAAAATGTATTTTTCTTCCTTTCTTTTTTTTTTGTAATTTTGAAATTGTATGTGGCTGATTGGCTATCCATTCTGTAGGTAGTGAAAGGTACATGTTATATTTGATGGTAAGCCTACAACTATTCAGAAGAAATTACTGCACAGTTTAACAAGGAATTTAAGTCTCATGAAACTTGTAAAAGATAGCTTTTAAGTAATATATTTTTGGTCTCAAACTATATCAGCAGCACAATTCACAATTGCAAAGATGTGGAAACAACCCAAATGTCCATCAATACATGAGTGGATTAATAAACTGTGGTATATGTATACCATGGAGTACTATTCAGCTTTAAGAAACAATGGTGATATAGCACCTCTTATATACTCCTGGAAAGCGATGGAACACATTCTACTAAGCGCGGTATCCCAAGAATGGAAAAACAAGCACCACATGTACTCACCATCAAACTGGTATTAGCTGATCAACATTTAAGTGCACATAGAAGAATAACATGTATTGGATGTGGGGCAGGGGGAGGAGGGGACGGGCATATGCACAAACAATGAGTGCGATGCGCACCTCCAGGGGAATGGACACACTTGAAGCTCGGACTTGGCGGGGAGGGAGGGTAAGGGCATCATACGTAACCTAATCATCTGTACCCCCATAACATGCTGAAATAAAAAAAATAAAAAATAAAAAAAAACAATCAAACTATATCTAAACCTTGGATGGTTTTCTTTTTCATGCACATAATAAATATTTCCCTAAAATACATGGACTGGCTGTTCCGTACTTGCTGAGAGGTTTTATTTTTACAGCTTCGGGAGTAAAGATTAGAAAATGACCTTCGTAAAATGTAAGCTAGAAACATGGCACATTCATACAATTAATTAAAAAAAAAAGAGCAAACAAAATAATGGTTTAGAAATACACTGTGAAGTCAGATGTTTATACTTTTAAGAAAAAAATGTTTCTCTTGCCCTTTTCTCCTCTGCTTTTACTTTGATCATTTCCACTTCATTTCTTTTATAACTCTTAATACTTACTGTCCTTCTCTGTCACATTGTCATCATGTCCTTATCTCTTGGTTTCATTGTCTGCCACAGAACATGTTGAGATATTCTCTTTTAGGGGAAAAAAAAACAACCCAAAAATCTCCAAAACCTTCCCTTGACCCTGATACACTCATGGAATTTTTATTGTAAATGTTCATTGTTATTCTCTAAATGTTTTGAAAATTTTCACATGGTACTACAACGATTTCATAAGAACATAATAGAGGAAGAGTAAAGTGCATGCTACTCTGAAATTGGACTCTATATCTTAGAAATAGCTGTGTAATATCAGGCACATCACTTCACCCATGAGTCATTTTTTCTCCTGTGCAATAGAGATACAACTACTACTAACTGATTTGTCAGAATAAAATGAGAAAATACATTCATGAGCACTTAATCCTCACAATAGATTTGTGAAGTAGATCTTGTGAGTTCTCAGTCTCTGCAAGTGTGACAGTTTTTGGAGTTTTTTGTTTGTTTATTTGTTTAAAGCATGTACAAAAAATATCAAGGTGAAAAATAAAGGCAAAATGTTAACTTCGTTGTTGTTTATATTTCTAATAGTAAACATAAAATAGAAGCATTAATTTAGAAAGCTCACTTAAGAAGTGGTTTTAAAACTGCTTTGGGGAGCCCATGGGATTCTCAGAAGCTGCCTCAAGAAAAGAGAAAAGGGAAGATTGCAAACAGGACCTCCAGCTTTGGCTTCAATTAAATAATTCTGATTTTGTCTTTTTGGTTTTTTTGTATAATATATCATCGGAGCAAATGATTTCATGGCCTAAAAAACAATGTAGAAATCCCCTAGTCTAATGCAGAAAAAAATGGCCTATAGTTAGAGGTTTTGATTTCTTCTTTATCTTTGGATTCATTGCTGAGATGGCTGGGATTTTAAAGTCTTGTAACACCAGAAATATATTCGGCATATGTCTATGCAGTGTGGTGGCAGCATTTGGTATTAATTTTCAAGTTCCATAAAGCATAAGCAATCACATTAGTTATATCATCTTCAATGATTTGTTTAGAATGCTTAGAATGATTAGGGGTCCACAAACATAATGAAAATTTAATAAAGATTGCATTTCTCAACTATAAATACATTTTAAACTTTTGCCTAGAAATACCACCAAAAATGCTTCTTTAAAAGTATAATATAAATATTAAAAATAATTCAAATTTGAGATAACTTTTAATAATGGTATTATTACTAATGTGGGTCCAGGATCTAATAGAAAAATACAATAAATATCAGCTGAAATAAACATTAATTTTATTCCTCACAGTGAAATTACATTGCAAATAGGTGTTTACATACCGGATCATCTGGATTATATTGAATAACATATTCTATCTGTCCATTTGGGCCATCATCTATGTCTGTAGCTCCATTGTCTCCTGAAAATCCTGTAAATATTGTGGTGCCAACTGGAGTGAGCTGAAAGGAAAATAAAAGAAAAACTGTCAATTCTCATTTTGTCAGCTGCAAACCAGAAACGTTCCAGCACAAAAACCAGTTCTTTATTACACAAAGGAAAAGAGAAGTCAGCAGCCTACAACCTGAAACTGAAGCATTGCAAAAGAACAATTATGTACTTCACATAGGAGTTCTTATAATGTCTGAATTTTTCAGCTTCGTAATCCTTGCTACGGATATAAATAGAAGTCACTGATTCAATGTGAAGCATGTTTGCACCAATTTATAATCATTAGCATCTTAGCACATGTGGAGAAAATGTGTCTGTTGTTCCTCCTTTAAAAAGCTTAATGCATTTTTATCTATAAGCTAGAATTTAATTTGTATGAAAAAGTTAGTTTCTTTATTTTAAAATTAGAAACTATTTCAGAGACCAATGAATCCAGGTTGGTAATTAATTACATGTAAGTGGTAAGTTTGAAGAAGAGAAGTTTGGGACAATGCATGCCCCATTAATCAGGAGAAAGCTGGGAGTTTCTTTAGCACTTGTTGATTAGAAATCCATCAGGTGACAGGAGTTGGGGACATGGTCACATATTTTCATTTTTTATTAAAACAACAACAGAACTTAATGTGTGTGTGGCATACAAAACCGTGATTTGGCATTTGGCCTAAATAGCTAACCTTCATTCTTACTAATCTTCACAGAAAATCACTGTTATTTTCTCTCACCTGTAGGTTGTAGGTCTCTGCACAATGTACTCCTATATCCAGCACCATTTTTCTCAATCCTTCCTTCTGAGTCCTCAGGCATGAGCTAAAACCCTACCTATTCATTATGTTTCAACTTATTTAGATATCACCTTCTCCTATACCATCCCTGACACAGCAATACTTACTCCAAGTCAGAATATGGTACTTTTATTCTCGTGCTTGTATTTTACACTTTATTTCTATAATCATTGCATTATCACAGTAACTAAATACATTTTAGCAATAAATATAAGTTTTGTGCCTCTGTGGAGCAAAGACTTTTAAATTTTGTTCTGAGATTTGTTAATTTTTGAGTGGGATTTTTATCATAAATAAATAGTTTAAGAGGAAAAATATGTTGCCTCATTTACTTCAATTATCAGGGACTGCAAACTCAAATGTCTACAGGGATCAATCAGGTAATGGAAATGAGTGAAGCAAGTCTGATGGGATGATGTCAAATTGGGGAGGGCGTGCCATCTCTAAGTTGGTAGCTGCCAATGAAGCCCAATAAATTCTTTCCATAGTGGAATATGGAGTTAATGCTAATAGGTCTCCTAATATTCTAATTCTATAAGAAATCTTATGATTCTAAGGTTGGCTACAGATTTAAAAAATTAAACAATAAATGGGTCAAACAAAATAAGCCCATTGGCCCAACAACCACACTAGCTTTCACTCTTTGATTTAGTAAAAGAATATAATTATGATTAAAGAAATAAGCCATACATACAAAGAAGTTGGGTATTTATAAAGCCAACATTCCTGGCAAGCAGCTTTAAAGGCAAAATTTAGAGAACTGAAAAGAATGAAAAGAGACAGTTTAAGTAGTACATAAAAGAACACTGAGACATTATTGGTTTAGATAGGTTTAGAGGAAATATTAGTTAACTAAATGGCTTGTAAGCAGACAGTTTTATAATTTTTTATGCAATCCTTATCCTCCCAAAACATCACTTTCTCTTATAAAAATTCACCTATTATTATGTAGCTATGCTTTGATATTTTGATTTCCATTTTATTTTTAATCAACAAATAAAAATTATATGTATTTATTGTGTATAACATGTGTTTCAAAATATGTATACATTGTGAAATGGCAAAATCAAGCTAATTAACATATCCAGTACCTTGCATACTTATCTTTTTTTGTAGTGAGAACATTTAAAATCTACTCTTTTACCAATTTTCAAAAATACATTGTTATTAGCCATAGTCACCTTGTTGTACAATAGATGCTTTGAACTTATTCCTTCTAGTCAACTGAAATTTTATATCCTTTCACAAAAATTTCCCACCCCCTACCGTCCCCCTCTAGCCCCTAGTAACCACCATTCTACCCTCTGCTTCTATGATGTCAATATTTTTAGATTCCACATAAAAGTGAGATCACATGATATTTGTCTTTCTGTGCCTGGCTTATTTCACTTAACGTAATGTCCTCCAGGTTCATACATAATTTTTAAATTATGAAATTTTAAAGTTGGATGACATTAATTTGTTTCCAGATACCTAATAAAACAAACTTAAAGTGTTTAATCAAAGATTTTATTGCCAAGTAAAATAACTGCCGTGGAGTTGGACTAAAATATCAAAACAAAGCAAAACAAACAAACAAAAAAATGAACCACACACATACACACACACAAAAAACAACTACACACACACACCAACCAAACACACATACACACACATATAAAACTTGAAAACACTGTGGAAATTTTGAATAAAATGTGTTTCTATGTCCTTCAATTTAGTTACTATTTCTTGAGGCAGCCTATATTATTGGACCAGATTCATTTTAGAACAGAATCCTGAAGTACTATAGCTGTGGGCAATAAAATTGGTATTGTGGGGAAGGAATAGGAGATCCAGTAGAAATGTAATATTTGCAGTCTCATTCAAGGTTAAATTTCTGGAAATAAATATTAATATGCTGGAAGTGTGTTGGAATGGATGGATTGAAAGATTTTACTCCTTACAATGTAATATTTGCAAATTCAAAGACATATTTATAAATTCAAACACCCAAACTATGAACAATATCTATATTTTTATCAAGCTTTCCAAATTTTTTTGAAACTCATGAAAAGCAATGTAAAATTACTATGGCACTTTAATACATTATCATCAATTAATGTTTTTTTTTTTGTTTTTTTTTTTTTTTTTTGAGACAGAGTATCACTCTTTCGCCCAGGCTAGAGTGAGTGCCGTGGCGTCACAACAACCTCAAACTCCCGGGCTCAAGCAATCCTCCTGCCTCAGCCTCCCGAGTAGCTGGGACTACAGGCATGTGCCACCATGCCCAGCTAATTTTTTCTATATATTTTCAGTTGTCCGATTAATTTCTTTGTATTTTTAGTAGAGACGGGGTCTCGCTCTTGCTCAGGCTGGTTTCGAACTCCTGAGCTCAAACAATCCGCCCGCCTCGGCCTCCCAGAGTGCTAGGATTACAGGCGTGAGCCACCGCGCCCGGCCAATTAATGTTATTTTCATCACTAACAGGTCTTTTTCCATTTAGATATGATATTTATAAGTTTAATTTCTAATATCTAGTCTTTTAAAATAAACCTTACATTGTATTTCTTTGATTGCCTTTAAAAAATATACTTGGTGAAAAGTACACCAAAGATTGATATTAGACTACATGAAAAAGAACAGGCTTGTTTATGCATTTGTTTACAGTTGCAACTTTAAGGTTAATCTAAGAAGTAATTCAATTTCAATTGCTGTCATTTCAGGATTTGAGCTCATTGTAGGGGGCCATACATAATTTTCCCTAATAGAATTTATGTGGCCATATATATTTTTACTATATCTGTAAATTGCAAGTAGAAATATGATGCTACAATAAATTTTATTAGTTGGTATCTTTGAATGGAAAATAAAAAAGAAACCGTTGTATTAGCTGTGGGAATAGAGGAAAAAAACGTATTTCTATAATGACATAGAGATTATGAACAATCTCTAAATAGCGTTTTAAGCTCTTTTATTGAAGCTTATTTTAGGTCCCTTGAAAATTAAATAAAATGCATGAGTGTAACAGTAGTAGATTTCAGCAGTTTCTTTAATCCATGGCGTCGTCTTTGTTTACAATTTCAACAAAAATTAAAGATTTCCCCCCAATTTTGAGAATGTGACATTCACTTGTTGACAGCGAAGGATGGGCAGACTCAGGCAGCGTGCCAAGTTATTAGCTCATCATTTACGTAACTAGTGAATTTTTCTCTCTTCCATAGTTGTGCATTGGGACCAAACGCACACATTATTCTTAGCACACATTGTTCTGTTCATTTCTACTACCAGAATATGCAACACCCATTCACAGACATACACATGTAAAACACAATATGTAAATGAATAAATAATTTGGCTGCACACATCTATTCATGATCTATTGCTCAGATAGTGGACCTGTTCAGACATAGGATAGGGGTTGAAGCCAACATAAGAGAACTTGCTAAGAAAAAAGAAGATAAGGCACATGGCCAAATATCTGTTGAGACTAAAAAGGCTTCTATGAAGAGTCCTACACCAGATGCAAACAAGTAGAAGAAAGTAAGAGCATACAAAAAATAGCATATTTTAGCATCCGGTTTAATTCATGTTCTTTATGTATACACCAACCAGAAATATAAACACAACTATGGACACACAAATATTATAGAAATATAAATATACAAAGACATCACCATTACTGATTCTCACTATTGGAGATGTGGCACACTAGTGTTTTGTGATTTTCTGAATATTATGCGGGGGTTGAAAATCTTCACATAACAGATTGTGTATTATAATCTATGTTGCCCTATATATTATTATTCACAGTTTTCAAGGGATATCTGCCATGAGGATGGCTATGTTCTGTATCCATTAACATTTCAGCAATTCTCAGAAACATAAATTCATTTTTTTCTGAAGGATATTTTTGCATGGGATGTTGATCAGCTCAGGCAGCTTCCTGAGGGTATTACTTGCTTATTTAGCTCATGTCTTTTTTTCTACGAATGATTTTATACAGCTATTGGGAAATACATTAAATACATAATAAATTCAAATGTAAAAGTTAAAGAAAATCACAAGCAAAAAAATTAAAATTTCAATAAGATGCCAATAGTAAGAAAAACTAGAATGTGAATGTAAAAGGAGAGTAGTTTTCATTTTAAGCCAACTCCCAAAACACGAACAACGCTCCAAAAAGAGAATATTTGTCCTGACTAATCTTACTCACAACACTTCCCCACAGAATCATTACATTCACTGCTTCATATACATACAGTCGTTTATCTCATTTTTTGTGTGTAGTTGTGTTCTGTAAAGTAATCATGAACACTGAATTAGTGAATACTGAACCATTGCTACTAGGAGAAATACAGGGTTTGGGTCCTGTAAGCCTCTGGTTTTCATCAACTGATCAATATACAACCTTGTTTCATGTGTTTCTGTTTAAAGTCATCTTATTTATTATGTATATTTTTGATTCATTAGCATTTTACTCACAGCCTGGATGATGTTTATCTAACATATAAGGCACATCCTAATCTTCCTGTGCTTAGGAACACTAGACATCATGTCAACACTACACTTAAGGGCTATTTTAAATAGGGAAGTCACCAACAAAAGCACACAAATGTTAACTGTGTGGCACTAAAAAGACTGTAAAAAAGACACCTATTTACAGTAGGAGAGCTGAAACGAGGTGGCCGAACATAAACATGTTTGACCTTGGGTAGAAATGTGTGTATTTGGTGACAAATTTTTCACCACTCTTAAGTATGTCTGTGAATGACTGCAAAAATCACCACAAGTATTTATTTTGTAGTTACAAATAACTTTTACAAAGTAGGATAATTTGCAAATAAGGAATCCATACATAATGAGGATTGTTTATACATAACAGATAATACTAGTGATATATTTGTAGTGTTGCCTGAAAGACCCAATCAAAAAGAAATTATCAGAATGAAGTTTGAGGCTTGTCTCTGTCTCTATTCAGCTCTATGATCCTTGCTTTTCCATATAGTTCCTTTGAAATTCAATTTCCTTTCTGTAAATCTTAAAGTTGGATTAAAATACTTATTTG